TCTCTCTCTCTCTCTCTCTCTCTCTCTCTCTCCCTCTCTCCCTCTCTCTCTGTCTCTCTCTCTCTCTCTCTCTCCCTCTCTCTCTGTCTCTCTCTCCCTCTCTCCTCTCTCTGTCTCTCTCTCTCTCCCTCCCTCTCTCTCTCCCTCTCTCTCTCTCTCTGAGGCTGCGTCCACACTGCTACGCTTTCATTTTAAAGCGGCGTTTTCAAACCAGAAGCGATCTCCGTCCAGACTTCAGACTGTTCCCGCCTGAAAAACATACATGAGCAGTCGCGTACACTGGGCATGTGCGAGCCGGTGTAAACAGGAAGCAGACTGTCTCCTCAGCAAAGACAGCTGTAGCGTTAAAATGCAGAATTTAACTGAACAACAGCTGCTGGCAGAGACGACGAGGTCAGCGACGCTTGTATTTCATTACCCATGTTGCTTTTCAGCGCTGGCAGTGTCTCTGAAACTACAGCTCAGCCTGACCCGTCGTCTTCATGGACCACGTTTCAGTCGCCGTTTCAAACCTGTTCCGTTGTCGTAACAACAGAAACAAAAAAAAACCTGTCAGGGAGAATTCAGCTGTGTTAAAATACTGTATATGTGAGCGAGGAGAGGAGAGATCAGATAAAGAGCTGAAACCAGCTGATAATAGATGACACAGGATGTTAATACGACTCACTTTTCATCCACGGCACAGACACAAACCAGGTTCTGAAGATGTAGAAACTAAAGTTAGAACGAATGGCTTTATTTCTCAGTTTGATTTGACTGTACATGTAGAAAAGAAAAGCCTGTGGTGATCTATCAGGAGACAGCAGAGACACGAGGAGGGAGGACACGGCTGCTTTATTGTGTGAACACTTGTCTGACAAATAATTTAAGTTAATGATAAATCATTAATGGTTAATATATTAATGTTTTCACCATCAACTCATTTATTAAAAATAGGGGGAGTGGGCCTCGGAGATGAAATACTAAGTGAGTCACATTCTGTCAGTCTCATTTAATGGGTTCAAACGTGGGTCGGATACATGTTCAGTGAAGTGAGTCATACGTGCGTCTCATGTATTAAAAAGAAAGGTTGAGAGAAACTGATGCGTGACGTAGATCTGAGCTTCACCTTCACAGTACTTCCTGTTCAGCACACGGCTCAGGTTTAAGTAGAAAACAAATTCTCCTGCAAGTTATTTTCACGTTCCAATTAGTCTGCTGTCTTTTTTATATATAGAGTCATTAAAAAGAACGTATTTGTTAACATGATATGATTATATATATATATGTATATAAAGTCCACCACCCTCCTGTTTCTGTTAAATGATAGAATATTTCAGTCTGATCTTGCCCTCAGGCTGTGTACAAACCCCCCCCCTCTCCCCCTCCATCATATGAAGCTGCATTTGTCTTAATTAGCTCGCGGTCGGAGCAGTTACTGGATGTTTGGAAATCAGTGGGAAAAACCTTCTTTTCATTTTCGGAAGTGAAAAGTTAAAAGTGGCTGGAATCTTTTTCATTTCCCCCTCTTCCTCTTCCTCTTCCTCCTCTTCCTCCTCTTCCTCCTCCTCCTCCTCTTGCTCCTGGAGCTGAACAGTTCTCTACAACTGAATGGAGATTTTCAAATCCTTGTCTTTTTCTGGAGGGAACATGTTTACTGTAATCGAATCAGATCCCTGATCAGTTTGATTGAATCCCTCCTGTCACATTATCGAAACTAAACGTACATTAATTTCCATTTATAATATATTCTGCTATAAAAAGGAAATTATTATGACACAAATATACAAATTATTCATGTGATCACCACCTGAGGAGGAAATAATGGCACCAGCAGAGATGAGTTAGGATTGGCTTCAGCTGATGTTTGATATTATATTATCGATAATATTGAATATCACAATATTTGTGATGTTTTTTCATTCATTCCTTCGTTAGCCATACTCATTTGTCTCTATATATTTGTCTCTTATATCTCCTCTCTAATGTTGTAAAACCTTTAAACTGTTTTTAAATCTGTTTATCATTTATTTTTATTGTTCGTCCTCAATTTTATCTTGTCTTGTAAAACGCATGGTGTCCACTGTGTTTTTAAAGGTGCTATATGAATAAATATTATTATTATTATTATTATTGCTGCATGTCAGCCCTGTGATGGACCTGTCCACGGTGTCGTCTGGGATTCCCTCCAGTCCTCCCATGACCCTAAGAGGGAAAAGCACTGTAGCTAAAAAGGATATTTCTCATGATGTTGAAACATTGTACATGACAATAATATTTGGGCTGGTCTGTAATTGAGATATTGAACTTTAGATGCCGCCCAGGCCTCGTGACGATAGGATATTTTACCAGATACAAGCTAGATACGAGCAGATCGAGCTTCCTGCCTCTGACTCGCTGAGAAAACGCTGCTGCGGGAGACTGGAGCTGATAATTACTCATCACAATTCCTCCTCTCCGTCTGTGTCTCTGTCTCTCTCTCTCTCTCTCTCTCTCAGAGATCCTGCCGCGGCGCCAGTGGAGAAGAAGAAGAAGGGGAAGAGGAGAAACCAGGAAGTGGCTGTCCAGGAGGGGGCGGAGAGTGACGACACTACCTCAATGTCAGCCCTCAACATGGGTGGAGAGGACAGCCAGGACCCCCTGGATAATGCGGTGAGGGATCCCGGCACACAGTGGGTTAATTAGACGGACTGGGGGAGGGGCCGCTTAATTAATAAAGTTTAACTTTATATTAATCTGTAGACGTGTTGGTTAAACATGTTATATGTCGCATTTAAACTCTTGAAAGTCATTCGTCAGAGACTCAGATATTCGAGGGCTAATTAGCAGCAAATGGTTCAATTTCCTGTGACACTTTCTTCCTTCCTTGCTTCCTTCCTTGCTTCCTTCCTTGCGTCCCTTGTTTGATCACTTCCTTTATTCTCTCCTCTTTCCTTCCCTCCTACCCTCACTTCACACTCCCTGCTTTCACCTTAATATCTCTCACTTTCCCATCTCACCTGCCCCCTCCCCCTCTTCTTCAACCACCATATCTCTTTGTGTCATTTCCTCCCTTCCTCCACTTCTTGATTGTCTCCCTAACTCCCTTTTTATCCCTCCTCCATCACTCTTAACTCCTCAATTTCTTTTCCTCTTATCTCACCTCCCCTCTGTCTCCCTGGATGTATCTTCCTTCCTAATCTGCAGAAGCGGCGTTCGGGACGACAGGTCAAGAGGAGGAAGTATAACGAGGATTTAGACTTTAAGGTGGTAGACGATGACGGAGAGACCATCGCGGTCCTGGGAGCCGGTCGCATCTCGGCGCTGAACGCCACCGCTCTGGCGTGGCAGGCCGAGGTAAGGACGCACACAGACTCTCACTTGCGTTCTTCATCTTTAGTTTTAAAATGCACAATAAATATGATGATGTATAATATGTACTCCGCACTCATTGATATAACCGGAGTGGACAGATCGTTGCTCCCACCTCTCGGTTTGATGCGTCGTCTAATAATTACAGATGAGGTTTTGTGTCGTGCACATTTTGAATTCTGTGCGCTGCTCCCTGTGAAGTCTCTGTTGCTCTGCCGCTGTGTGAGCGGTGAACTGACCTTCATCTGAGTGGGATGCTCATCTTTTCTCTCGTCGTGTCCCTCAGGAACCACCTGAGGACGAAGCCAACATCATTGAGAAAATTCTGTCTGTCAGAACAGCGAAGAAAGAGGTGAAGAAGAAAGACGACACACACACACACACACACACACACACAGGCAGAGAGAATCTCACAGATTCACTTTCATGAATGGAATATATATTTTTTTATAGATTATAAATATATGATGACGGTTTTATTTCTGCCTCGTTCGAAAATCTACAGCCCTCCTCATCTTTCTGTATTAATTTATTTATTTCTCCTTCACTTAATCTGCCCGTCTCCCTCCGCAGACTTCGCCGTCAGAGGACCAAGCGGAGGAAACAGAGGAGTTTTACGTCAAGTACAGAAATTTGTGAGTCTCCTCATCATTGCTCAGTCACACATTTAAATGTTATACTTTAGATTTTTTTTGTTTTGTATTCCGCTGACACTTGCAGAGCTCTGTTTCTGCACCGTGTGTCGGCAGGATTGAATTCTCCTGAAGAAGAGCAGGGTTTTTCTCTGCCTGTTTGTTAGTGTGGGGACTTGTCACGCTCGGTGGATGAAGAGGCTCAGAGCGGGGGGGGGGGACGTTGCCGGCACACCGCAGCTCCGGTGTCATTTCATCTGTTATCAGTGTGTTTTGTGCCGTCCACTGCGCACCTGCTTCGACCAGGTGATGCGGAGTCTGAATTATACAATGACAATCTGGGCAAAAGGGAATCCAGTACAGTGCAGGCGTGCGCTTCACTGAACTGAGGTGTTACAGTCCTCACAGTATCTTGCTTGTTTAACTAAAGCTGTCAAATAAATGTAGTGAAGTAGAAACGACAATTTCCCTCGGAAATGTAGGAGTTTCAGTATAAAGTAGCATAAAATGGAAATACTAAAGTTTAATAGTAAAGTATGAGTACGTCAAAATTGTACTGGTACCACTTTACAATAAGACGACCTTTATAAAGGATTTATAAATGGTCTATAATTAGGTTATTAATTTGGTTGTTAACACTTTATAAATCATAAACAATTATAGACACGTTATAACAGTTTTCACACATTGATGCAGCTCACTATTTGGCAAGATCAAGTTAATGCTTACTACTCATTAATCTTACTAATGAGTTATTACCATTTATAACGGGTAAAAGGAGCCTTATTGTAACTTATTAATAAATGATGTGTTTTACACTTTACAGTAAGACTCCCTTTTACCCATTATAAGTTATAAGTTGACAACTAGCTAATATCAGGTAGCTAAACTAACTTAAGGCAAAAGTTGGAAACTAGCTAACATAAGTTAGCTAAACCATAACTTGAGGCTAGAGTTAGAAACAAGCTAACATTAATTAGCTAAACTGTAATTTAAGGCTAAAGTTAGAATAGAAACTAGCTAACATTAGCATTCCAAGTCCTTATCAGTCTGAACCCCAAGCTTTACCAACCTGGATTCTCAAACTGGGACTGGTCAGGTTTTGGAGCTGAGCCCTGAGGGGGAACATGTAAACGCCACAAACACTGAGACCCGAGGAGCTGCGTCTTTAAACTGAGCCAGATGCTCACAAGCTCAAAGAAATGCTCTCTGGCTAATCTACAACAAGTCCTGGGGGGATTAAAAGTCACCCTCATGACTGATGAAAACACATCAGGAGTGTCTTGACTTTGTTGGAGCGGTTGGTTAATAGTTTTTAAGACACCGATGTCTCCTGGGGAAATTGACTTCACACACACACACACGGGCTGTTTTTTCAGCGGTGGAGTCGGTGGAGTGCTCCTCAGCCGGAGCTGTTGAGGCAGAGCAGAGAGAGTTTTTCATCATCTTACCGAGGCTCAGCTCTTCTCTGGAGACTCTCTCTGTTTGTTCCTGCACTTTGTATCTTTAAGAAAGGTCCTACACAGATATACAGTCGTTATTATGATCATAATTTATTCTCTGGGGTGATGAATAAAACATGGCAGATTTGCCTGCGTTAATTCAAACCGAACGGATGTGAATGCTTTACTTTTCCGCGACTCCATTTAGAATAATGTATTCACAAATTATAGAGTCCGAGAAAAGTATAATATTTGTTGTGTAAAAAAAAAAATCATTATTATACATAATGCAGTATCAAATGCATAAGTAGTTGCACAGGCGGTTCAGTAACTGCATGGTGCAGCACTATATGCTGAGCGCTGCGCTGACATTTATGTTTGTCCATTTATAGATCGTGGTTTATGGATTAAATCATGCATGTCGTTGTGTAAGATTCAGTGGTGTGTGTGTGTGTGTGTGTGTGTGTGATGAAGATAAAACACTCTGTAGGACACAGTGCATCATGGCTCCCTCTTGTTTAAACCTCTTGCTGAGGCCGATCAGATGGATCACATTAATTTGTTTTGCTTCTTCATCATCGATCCTCTGTATTTTTTATTTATTCATGATTGTATCTTAATGTTAGAACACTTTTTCTAAACACAATTTCACTCTGTTTTAATTAATTTCCATGACCTGATCATTAAATGATGTTGATGATGATGATGACCAAGGTCTCCTACTGTGCTGAAGCTTTTGTGATGTCCCTCACTTGTACGTCTCTTTGGATAAAACCATGGCCTTACTTTATTTTATCCATGTTGATTTAAAGCTGGTTTGGAGCGTCTTAAACTGGTCTGTTTGTTTAATGTTTGGTTTTGAAGCTCCATATTTTCTTCTTCTTCTGTGTTTTATTGAAGCGTTGATCCATCAGAAGATATATTTGTAGTTTTACATCTCCTCTCTCAGGCTTCTCTCTGCAGCTCTAGTAACAACAGGTCGGTGAGCCAATCAGAAGAGAGGAGGCTCTGAGTCTCTCTTCTGATTGGCTGACTGTTTTCTGAGTGATCCAATAAAAATAAAGCAGATTTCAGGTAAAAACACTCAGAGAAACCAAATCCTGCAAGGTTTGGATGGTGGGTCCAGGTGGGCGGGGCTTGGTGACTGCTTTGTTGTGACATCACAAAGTTCCAGAAGTCCTGACGGCTGGTTTTAAGGCTCAGTTTCTGAATACAGGCTGTGTGCATTTCTCTGTGGACTGAGGCTTTGATACTTTCACAGTATTAATATAGAAGCTAGAGCTGATCTATAATCACACTACACATGGACACAGACCTTTACACTGGAGGAGCTTTAACTTTAACTGTCTTTTTTTGTCTTTTTTGATAATCAGCAGAAATTCTTGTTGTAGTTGGACTGATTTGTTTCCATCTCTTTATATTGAGTTGATTGAAATCATGATGTGATTTGTCTTGATTTTCTTTATTGAGTTTGAACCTTTTTATAACATTCAAACAGATAAACAAACCTCATGTATTTTATAAGCTAAAAGCTGCGTTGTTTCTTTTGTTGTTTTAGTTCCTACCTTCACTGCAAATGGGCCACTCTGGAGGAGCTAGAGAAGGATCCTAGAATCCACCAGAAGATAAAACGCTTCAGGACCAAACAAGCCCAGATGAAACACCTGTTCACCGAGGTAAACGCTGTTCCTCATCCTCTCCTCAGCTAATCTTCTCCCTCTGACTTCATATGTTATTACCTCTTATGAGCCATTACCGAAGCCTTTTTCTCCCGTCACGAAACATGCGGTCGTGATCACTTCAGGTGTGTAATGGATGAACGGGTCACAATGCCTGATAATTCACAGCACATTCATCCGGTGACGCCGCAAAGTGTTGGAAGTGCTGTAAAGGTCGTCGGGTTAACTCCAACATGCTGTAACCTGGCAACTACTTGACATAGAAGCGTAATTCGGCCTCTGCTGAATAACTCAAACTTCATGGTTGCAGACCTTGTCACACCTTGTTGTTGACCTTAATTAAAGCTTCTCAGAACGAATGTTGAGGGGTAAAGCGATGGTTGAAAAGTAGCAGTTAGTGTCTCTCCATCTACAGGAAGCATGTTTATGGAGGATGTGGCTCATAGAGGTTGAAATAACAACTTGTCTCTGTACGACAGAGGGAGGCCTGTCTCTCAGGAGTAGAAAGAAACGGCAGTGGTAGAATTAAAATATGGAGTTACAGTATTAAGTAAATGCTTCTTTTCACAATGCTCTTATGTTAAAGTTAGAATCTGTAACTTTTCCACATTAAAATGTTTAAAAACAGCTCGACCTGTGTTCTATATGTTGTTGAGTTGTGTTCTTACATTTATTCCCAAATGTCATAATCACGGTAACGCCGTTTCATTGGTTGCCTGTCAGTGACATCATATCCCGACGCACGCTTTTAATTGAATTGAATTTATTTATCTTTCTATTTAGTGACATATTTTAAGCTGTTTTATTGGTGTGTCCTTTTATTCTATGATCACTTTCTGGATTGTTTTTACTTTTAATACCCTACTTTTCTTTCTAGTTATTTATTTTATTTCTACTTTTATTTTCTGGTTTCACTCACTTCCAATCACCTCCTCCCTTTTAATCTATTTTGTCTTCATTTTTATTAGATTTTTAATATCCAACCTTTTATTTCAGTTTTTTCTCACTTGAATACGTTTCACACAAACCCATTTACATACAGGAGAAAGTAATAAATAAAAACAAATGAAAATAAGACAATAATAACAGGAGCTGAGGAAAGACTGGAAAACAGAGATAATGATGGAGTGATAAAGATAAAATGATAAAATACTAAAACAGTATGTGTAACTCTGTTTGCAAGATCCACGTCTGGACATGAAGTTATCAGAGAAACAAGCAGAGGAAACGTTAGACAGCTCAGCTACGAGACGTGAAGAATCACTGATTTTTAAATTGAAACTGTTTTTATTCAGAGTTTCTACTGGTTTTAATCCTCTGGTCTGTTTGTTGTGGAGAGGAGGAAACCTCTGTGGATAATTCAGCTGCAGGTAAAAACCTCCTGCACGTCTGCTTCATAAGTTATTAAAGAAACAGTCAGAACAAAGGTTAGCATCAATCTCAGCTCCAGCTCTTCCCTGAGTTTATCCTCCGTACGGCGTCGCTCAGACTCTGACTTTAAATGTGAAACTGCTTTAGTCAGTTGAGTGTTTTTACTGGTTTTAATCATCTTGTCTCGTCCTGAACGGCCGGGAGAAGCTGAAGACAACAACTCCCATGATCCCACGCTATTTCCAAACGCCATCTTTTATTATTGTTTTGATGGAGAGACCCCTAGTGGCAGAAGTTACAGACTGTACATTTAAGACATCTTCTTAGCTTATTTTACAGACTGTTCCCTGACCTGATTACCAATGAATAATCAATAATCTGCTGCTGTCTCTCTTCGTCTCTTCTCAGCCTGATGACGACTTGTTTAACCCAGACTATGTCGAGGTGGACAGAGTGCTGGAGGTGGCTGTTACCACAGATACTGAGACTGGAGAGGTACGTAACACAAACACAGACGCACTCTGTCAGCTGTGAAAGTGGTTATTATCACTGAAGGTCCTCACACACACACACACACACACACACACACACACACACTGTGTTTGTCGTTGTGCTGCTGCTGCAGGAGGTGACCCATTACCTCGTTAAGTGGTGCAGTCTCTCGTACGAGGAGGCGACGTGGGAGCTGCAGGAGGACCTGGACCCGGAGAAGATCAAAGAGTTTGAGGGGATCCAGAAACTGCCGCCGGACCTCAGACACATGGTGAGTAGAGACACAATAAAAGACGAGAGTCGCCGTCCGGTTTAATGCAGCTCTTTGACGGAGAGGAGGGAAACTGTAGTTCAACACTGCCGCTAATGAGAGAGTGAGGACAACACAGGTTCAGGCTCAAGGAGAAAACAGCAACTTTCAGACCTTTGCAACAACTACACATTTACTGTGTGAAAAGAAAATCTATAAAGTGATGGAGCATTGTTAGCAGAAGAGAGAGGGGGGGGGTGTTTAAATCAAAATGTTTGGAAATAAAGGTTGAGAAATGATGTAAAAATACAGAATAATAAAGTAAGAACAGCAGATGTCGCCTGACAGTCGGGTCAGTTTGGAGGCCGTTTCCACCGTGATCAGTTTGCAGCGTGGCGTCGTCATTTCCAGACGCTGCAGTCGTGTTTTTGCTCGGAGTTGTGAACCTGCCGTTCTAAGACATGAGTCGACTCTTGGCGTCTTATGTCCCTAAGTCTTACGACAGTTTGAATAATGCTGCGGGACACGCTGGCTGCGGTAAAACAAATCCGCTACTTATTCCGGGGCTGCAGCTCGCGCTCAGAGGAAGGTGTAGCTGTGTGTGTTTCTGGTGTAACAGCACGGCGCTGGACGGGTGATAGGTGTGTTTCCAGTGTCTGTGCTCTGAAAGAATATGAGCGTGTTCACCCGGGTGTTGTGTTTACATGACTGCTGATCGGAGCCGGAGCCGGTAAATACCTGTGACTGCTGCAGAGTCATGTGACCTGGGACCGCCTTCTCCATTACCGACCAAAGCCTGACGTTAGCGGGTCCGGTCTCATGAACGCGATATCTCACAAACACCTTGAGGGAGCTTCTTCAGATTTGGCACAGATATTCACTTGGACTCAAGGATGAACTGATTAGATTTTTGGTGGTCAAAGGTCAAAGGTCAAGCTCACTGTGACTTCACAAAACACACTTTTGGCCTTTTGAAAGTGACATCTCAAGTTAGCCTGGAGGGAAATTCTTCAGAATTGGCACGAACATTCATTTGGACTGAAAGATGAACTGATAAGATTTTGGTGGACAAAGGTCAAAGGTCATGGTCACTGTGACCTCACAAAACACGTTTTTGGCCATAATTAACAAATTCATTCACTAATTATGACACAATTTAACTCAAATAAAAAGGATAAAATGAAGTGAAGCCATTTCATAACTAAGAGATCAAAGGTCAACTTCACTGTGATGTCATAATGTTCTGTAAAAAAACTACCTCTGGCTGTTATACAACACTGTAACTCGGGAAGGAGAGACTGGGACCATATATCCTGCGTCTCGACTGCTTGGCGGAGGGATACAACCACGAGGCGGCGATTCTAGTTTGTGGCGTTTTTTCTGGCTCAGGTGCTCGAAGGTGACGCCCTCATTCTCTACAAAGCTCTGATTGGCTCAGTTGTTAGGTCAGAGAACAAATCACCTGACCTGTTTGAATACACGGAGATGTGGGTGGAAATCTTGAAGCAGGATATATCAGATAAATACTGTGAGAAAACATTTACAAACTGTGATGAGGATGGTGAAAACAAACAAACAACACGCCACCATTACAGCTTTATGTTTCATCTTCGCTGCCTCCACAGCCGCTCTCCCCTCGGCCTCTTCTCCACTGTTAATGAGCACAAACACAATCAGTGCTGCGAGGTTTTTCCCTTCACGTCTGTGCCGTTCGCTTTTGTAGAATAAAACCCTCAACGACCAAACCCGTGTGAAACATCTGCCTCTTTGACCCTCAGTCCCCTCCACATCTGGGCCGCTCTGCTTCAGCGAGTGTGTGTGGGCGTCACCGTGAAAGCCCGGACTAGAAACTATAGCAGAGAGGTCGTTAAAAGCGAGACGTCAGTTTTGTGACAGTTGTGTATTAAGCCGTCGGTCGTCTGAGCGGTCTAACGTTTCAACTTCACTGGATGCTGAACACAAAATTGCTGCTTAAATAGCAGCAATTTTCCCAGAGTCTATTTCACCTCGCGAGAGACGCAGGAGTGAGACCCCGAGCAGATTATTCCTGCTCTTTCGCCATTATTCATTTCAATTAGTATCATCACTTATTACGTCCTGGCAGCGACGGTGAGTCACGCTGCTTATTTTATTAGTCGTCTATTCAACCTCCAGTTTCTCTCTCACCTTTTAAAAACAGCTCGTCTGCCTCCTCTCTGATTTAATATCTGATCCTCCTGCTTCTTCTGATGGATAAAATCTGTGTCGTGTGAGTGATTCCGTTCGGACGAAGTGAGTTACAGTTTGTGTAAAGACTCGTGTGTGTGTGTGTGTGTGTGTGTCGCAGGAACGTCCTCTTCCAGACAAGTGGCAGAAGCTGGAGCGGAGCAGAGATTACCGCAACGGAAACCAGCTCAGAGAATACCAGTTAGAGGGAATGAACTGGTTACTGTTCAATTGGTACAACAGGTAAATACACAAACACACCTGAGCCAGTCAAAGCAGCGTGATTGCTTTTAGGTTTAAAGAACATTTGGTGTTGATATGACACTGTGAACGACAACTAACAAAGAAGCTAATAAACTCCACCCCACATGCTGACTTTTATAAGATGATACAATTTACAGATGTTCCCTAAACGCCTCACATGCAGCCAATGGGAAGATGTTACCTGCAGCAAACATGCACTTAGTGTCTTTAAGGGAGGTTTATAGTTGTCATTGCAAAATGTGCCAATATGCGGGGCCGTCAGGGGCCCCTTTTCTCCTTGGGGGGGCCCCAAGCTTTTGTGTGGTGTGCCTCTCCTGATGCTGCACATCTGGTTCTTGGTCACAGTCGGATTAAATCAGTTTTCAGGTGTTAAATGTAAAAAAAACCTTCACACTGACGATTTTCCAGGGTTCCCACGGCGCCTTGAAATCCTTGAAAGTTTGTGAATTTGAGAAAATAGACGTAAACAGACCCACAGGCATTGAAAGTGCTTGAATTTATATTTTTCGTTGGAGAAATAAAAATGATTTTAAATAGGCGCCGACAACACGGTCTGTAACAGATTCTTTCTCTTTTTCATTGCTGTCTGTGAGCTCTTTTAAAGCTGCTGTGTCTCAAAACTCTTAATTAACCTTGATCTGAGTAGTACTATCATCTGTTGGGTCCTTGAATCTGGGGCAGTTGGGCTTGGAAAGAACTTGTGGGGAATCCTGATTTTACTTTTCTACTTAAAATGTAAAAAATAATTAAAATAAAATAAAAATACACCATGTCCATGGAGGAATGTCGCTGTAACACAAACAGTTACTACTCCTTCATCCAGGGCTAGCTGGTTAGCTGGTTAGCTGGTTAGCTGGTTAGCTGGTTAGCATGCTAACTTCAGTGGATATCTCTGCAACACAACACAGACGTCTTTTTCTGTTTCCCCTGTAATAAAGAACAACTGGTACTAAGTACTTTTTATTTACACACACAGTAATCCATTAATTAGCTTAATTATTGTACTAATTAGTGTAAACAGATGTGTTTCCTGTATGTTAGGATCATGGCAGGACACCTTTCTCTTTCTCTCTCTCTGTCTCTCTCTCCCCCTCCCTCTCTCTCTCTGCTGTTACTCTCACCTCACTATCACGATCTTTCTTCTCTCTCTGTTTCTCCCTCTGTCCTCCATTTTCCTTCACTCTCCTCTCCTTGTGTTTTCTTCTCGCTCGTCTCTGCTCATCTGTCCCTCGTTCTCCTCTCCTGTCTGCTTCTTCTCTCTCTGTCTCTCCCTCCCTCTCTCTCTCTCTCTCCCTCTCTCTCTCTCTCTCTCTCTCACTCTCACGACGTCTTTTGTTTTTCTTCCCAGGAAAAACTGCATCCTGGCAGATGAAATGGGTTTGGGAAAGACGATCCAGTCCATCACCTTCCTGTACGAGATCTTCAACATGGGGATCCGCGGCCCCTTCCTCATCATCGCCCCCCTGTCCACCATCACCAACTGGGAGAGGGAGTTTCGCACGTGGACGCACATGAACGTCATCGTGTACCACGGCTCCCAGATCAGCCGGCAGATGATCCTGCAGTACGAGATGTTTCACAGAGACCCGCAGGTAGAGCATTACTCACCGGCCCTCGCCCGTCAGCCGGTGACTGAGTCAGCCGGTGACTGAGTCGGCCGTGTGAGGCTTTTATTCATAGAGCTAAAGGTGGAGGACGCACACGGCCGTCTGGTCTTTTATTTTTATTGGAGTGAGTCCTAACAAAGATACAGAGATGAAGAGCGTCCTCCACACTGCAGGAAACAGTCGCGTTGTGATTTTGCAGAACACATGTTGTGAAATTGTTGTTTGTGTTGTCACAACCCGAGACTAAAGAGGGAGACGCACACAAACGAGCCAATTAACAAATGTTTTATTTAAAAACAATAAATCAGGGAGGAGAACTTAGACTAACAATGTGTAATCTGTAAGATCAGCCGTGTGAGTGCAGTGTTGTTTGGTTTCACAACACAAACCAAAACCAAATGTGGCGCCTCAGGGAGGAGAGAGAACCAGAAGCAGAAGTTCCAGCGTGGTTTTCAAAGCACTGGCACGCAGGGCGCAGGTGTGGCAGGTGTTCTGGTGAGCCAGGTCCTGACGGACCCGCCTCTAGTACCTGTAAAGAAAGCAGCCACACACACAGGAAGCAACAGGCACGCAGGGTTGGAGAGGGTCGGCTCCATGTGTTTTGAGCTCTCGGGGCCACCGTACCACCGTGATCAGCTTCCTAGAGACTGTCTCTCTCTCTCTCTCTCTCTCTCTCTCTCTCTCTCTCTCTCTCTCTCTCTCTCTCTCTCTCGCTCTCTCTGGTTTAAATATTCAGTGTCATCACAGGTTCCTCGCTGCTGCATATCCAGTGTCAGCTGAATACAGAATACTGTTATCTCCTCTGTGAGCAGCTAATGTGCTGCAGCTTCATGAGTCTCGAGTTGAGCTTTCGGCAGATATCTGGGGGGGTGGGGGGGGGGATTCATCCTGGTCATGCATGACGAACTCAGACCAACTTGTGTTCAATTTTACCAATGATAATCTTGAAGGTGTCATCCTCCACCCTGGTTCTCTCCTGCCCTCAGGGTAACACCCTCCCCGGCGTGCTGAAGTTTCACGGGCTGATCACCACCTTCGAGATGATCATGGCCGACTGCCCGGAGCTGAAGAAGCTGCACTGGCGCTGCGTGGTGATCGACGAGGCTCACCGCCTGAAGAACAGGAACTGCAAACTGCTGGAGGGGCTCAAACTCATGAACCTGGTCAGTCTCTGTGTTTGATATTTGCAGCTGATATGTTTTTGGTCAAATATAATGAAGCAATAATTCGGTAGAGTTGGCTCCGTAGCATTAGCTAAACCTACACGTAGCTTCTTTAAGTTTAAAGTGTTTTGGTTCGTTTGGTTGAAGAAGTCGGTTTATCAATAAAAACAAGGAAACTTTTTATTTTCCTCTATTAAGTGATTACAAAACAAAAATAGTGAGATGGATTGAGCCAAACACACGACAGAGGAGACAACAAACACGTAAGAAAAAACAAAAATAAATAAATAAAAATAATTTTAAATTAATTTCTAGTAGAAAAATAAACGTTGAAAAAGAAGAAATAAATATAATAAAATAAAATAAATGTAAAATAAAAAAATGATGAGCATACTACATGAATAAACACACAGCGTCAACCTGTACATGCTCATAATTATAACACGAACTAGAAGACGTGACGTCAAAGACCGATTCCCCGTCTCCAACACGTTTCCCAACAAGACGAAACCGAACTCAGTCCCACCTCTTCCTGCTATCACAGCTGCTCTTCATCCCATTAATTTAAATAGGTAATTAATAGATAAAGTAATTACTTCAATTCAGATTAAATGTTGAAGTGAATTATCAAGTTTGTGAAAATATAATGAGACTGTGACGTTCCTCAAATGAACAGAAATGTCATATTGCTTGTTTTTCCATCATCTTGTTGCAGCCTCTTCTTCTTCTTCTTCTTCTTCTTCTTCTTCTTCTTCTTCTTCTTCTTCTTCTTCTGTGGTTCAGCGGCGCCATTCGTGCTGATGTTTTTTTTTGTTTTTCCAGGAACACAAGGTTCTGCTGACGGGAACCCCTCTGCAGAACTCTGTGGAGGAGCTGTTCAGTCTGTTGAACTTCCTGGAGCCGCTGCAGTTTCCCTCCGAGAGCAGCTTCCTGGAAGAGTTTGGTGACCTCAAAACAGACGAACAGGTAGGTTCAGGTAACCGGAGACGGGATAAAAACCGCCTCCAGTGATGTCACTCGAGTCGGCGTTGGTGTCTGAGGAAAGTTAAAAAAATAAAAATAAAAATAAAAGCCTAGGGATGTGGAGTTGAGGAAAGAAGAGAGCTCGCTCCTCTTCTCTGCTGCAGGCTCCAGCTGAACTCTTTGTGGCAGAGATGCATTGTGGGTAATGTAGGTGGCAGGTTTTGACAAGGAAGAAGAAAGTGTGAAATAAAAAAATAAAAAAAGACAATATCTCAGGTTCTGCTGCTTCTATTTTTGGGAATGTTGTTAAAGTGTCAATCCTGAGTCTGACAGTCTTTTTAAAGCCAAAGTCTGTGTGTGGGAAGGCTTTTACTGTGAAAAGCAGCCGCAGGAAGCTGGCAGTGCTTGTATTAGATGCATGCCATAACGTTGCTGTTCTTCTTCAGCACCTCTGTGACCCTGTGTTTTTGCCTCTTGGGCTCAGCTGTGATTTTGTTGGTTGGTTTTATTTTGAAAAACCCTCTCAGTATGAACATAAAGAGGACATTTGCAGTCGTGTCACATTCACACCTCCCCCCTCCCCCTCTGTCTCCACCAGGTGAAGAAGCTTCAGGCCATTTTGAAACCCATGATGTTGCGGCGACTGAAAGACGACGTGGAAAAAAACCTGGCGCCCAAAGAAGAGACCATCATCGAGGTAGACGAGCTGATTCTCCCGCTCTTCCCTCCGCTGCGGACGACTCCCGTCCCGCCTCCTTCTGCTGTTGTGAATTAAATCCTTCAACAGAAGCGTCGTCTTTAATGAGGCCACTAATGAGAGCTGTTTTTATCAGAATTATTCGTCTTAAGTCTTTATGAGTCTCGTTAATCACAACTTCATTCAAAATTAAAGTAAATGAAATTAAAGTGAAGTTCATTAAAAGTGAAGGGAAGGAGTTTAAAGTGTTTCAGAACAAGACCTCGTCTCCTCGTCTCCTCTCCTCCTCGTCTCCTCTCCCCCTCGTCTCCTCTCCTCCTCATCTCCTCTGCTCCTTGTGTCCTCTGCTCCTTGTTTCCTCTCCTCCTTGTCTCCTCTCCTCCTTGTGTCCTCTCCTCTCTCCTTGTCTTGTAATGAATGAAGCAGATTGTTCACCAGGCACTGCCACCGTCTTCATACTGTCTCTGTGTGTGTGTATGTGTGTGTGTGTGTGTGTGTGTGTGNCCTCTCCTCTGCTCCTTGTGACCTCTCCTCCTTGTGACCTCTCCTCCTTGTGTCCTCTCCTCCTTGTCTCCTCTCCTCCTTGTTTCCTCTCCTCCTTGTTTCCTCTGCTCCTTGTGACCTCTCCTCCTTGTGTCCTCTGCTCCTTGTCTCCTCTCCTCCTTGTCTCCTCTCATCCTTGTTTCCTCTCCTCCTTGTGTCCTCTCCTCTCTCCTTGTCTTGTAATGAATGAAGCAGATTGTTCACCAGGCACTGCCACCGTCTTCATACTGTGTGTGTGTGTGTGTGTGTGTGTGTGTGTGTGTGTGTGTGTGTGTGTGTGTGTGTGTGTGTGTGTGTGTCCTGCAGGTGGAGTTGACCAACATCCAGAAGAAATACTACCGAGCCATCTTAGAGAAGAACTTCTCCTTCCTGTCTAAAGGAGCGAACCAACACAACATGCCCAACCTCATCAACACCATGATGGAGCTCCGCAAGTGCTGCAACCATCCCTACCTGATCACAGGTGACCACACACACACACACACACACACACAATATTAAAATAATAATAATATTTAAAATGTTAAACTGCAAAATCATGAAGTGCATCTCCAGGTTAATATTTTGTGATTGATATAATCCACTGAACAGATCCGTTTCCTCTGCAGAGAAGCTTCTCTCTTACTGCAGTCCGCCGAGCTGCAGACACACCGGGCTTCTACAGGGAATAGGACACTCTGATTACATTTTTCTTTTTTTCTTTTTTACATTTTTATTGGACATTACGCTCAAAACACTCCCGTGATTAATTAAGAGACTAAGTAGAAACCTTTGAAACCATGCACCAGCTGCCATTAAACCAGCACAAGTGGATTTGGACCCTAAATGCAGCTGCTCTGTGCTCTTTAGTCTCCCTCCCTCC